TTGGCAACGACGTTGTAAAACAAGCCAATTCACTTCGTGAAATCGGCAACAAGGTTACCGGCGGGTTTTTTACCTATTTTTTTTTTGGCGGTAACCATAATGGTGGTCGAGTGGATCATGTTGTGTGGGGTGGAGAACCCTCACTCCGCGCAAGGGGGATAATCGCACCACGTCGTGTTACAATGGTCAAGCACCCTCGAGGCAGTTACGCAGTGCTTACAACTGTCTCTGGAAGTGAAAGCACCAGAAAATAAATCAAGTCATACGCAGCTGTCATCCGTACGCAAGGAAGTAAGCACAAGATGCCGAAAACCCTTAGCAGGATGCAGCGCACCCTTCATGCGACTCGCCGAATACCTCACGGCGCTTGGCGCTTGGTGATGTCGTCCCGGCTTTGTAGGGATGCGAAGTCAATGGTCTAACGACTACGGCATGCACGACACCCCCCCCTCGTACGCAACCGCGGCGCCCCCCAGGTGTTCACCTCCTTGAGTGCCTTCTGCAGCAGCGAGTTCCCAGCGAACTGGTCGTTGACGACGGCCATGTACTTGTCGTGCAGGGCCAGCAGCTCCTTCACGAAGTTGGGGTCCTGGTTGGTGTCCTTCTCCCCGCCCTCGATCTTGGCCTCCCGTCGCTTGATGATCTCGTTCCCCATCTGGAGTAAGACAAGTCACGGGGTGGGGGCATCTTCTTTATTTTGTATTTGTGTTCAATCTTAGGCTTCCGTACAAAACGAGAGGTTATTACTTGTAGCTCAAGCTGAATCTCTAGTTCTGGGCGCCTCACGAAGCAGCGGGGCGTTTCGCGCAACGTTTCTTAACTCTCAGCGATGGATACGTCGAAGGGACGGTTACAATTCTACAAGCGTGAACCCATTTTGGGGTAGTTGGCCTGTAACCACGGAAGCCGGCCGTCCGCGTCAGCTGGACACAACGTACACGGTTAATAGGAGGTGCCGTGGAGCGGAGACGGGAACGGTTTTTAATGTCAACACACGCAACAACTAACAACAACCAATAACAACCAGTGCATGTACACCGCACGGCACAAACCAGTGATAGAGCACACCTAGATAAACCTCACCTCGCACGGCGAAACCCAACTACCAGCACCGCCCAACACCACAACAAACACTTCTGCCCCGCCTTCCACGCCCCCGTCGAGACCGACGACCTCCAACAAGAGCGCCTATTCGCCAACGCAGGAAAGCCGCCCCCCGCGGATGCAAACGCGCCGCGTGTGCAAGCTTGCACGCGAAACCTACGTACTGTACCTCTGTGATGTGGTCCTTGATGATCTCCGCCATGGGCTCCAGCCCCTTGGGGAGTCGGTTGAAGAGGCGGTACATCCGGCTGAGGTCGTCGGACTTGTCGTTGGCGAGGAGGACCTTGCACCCGCTGCCTTCCTTCTCGAGCAGGATCTTCTCTCTGCGTGGGGCCAAGACAAGACGACCGACCGAACGAGAGGTCAACAAAACCTCACGTTCGATTACTTTGTACTGACAAGAGTCCTGGGGCTACACGAGCACACTGCTGTACACGCTCCACCCGACACGCGCTTCCCAAAAATACCACAAAACCACACTTCCCGCATCAGGCTGCCCCCTCATGCTCCCAGCCATAAAATTCCACCCCAACGCGTCCCAAAAAAAAACAAAATCACACTTAACCCCGCCATTCATGCTCCCAGACACGGCTACTACTTCCGAAGACCGGCGAAACGGTTCCTACTCCGTCGAGTTGCGTTCTGCCCACCTCTTCTCGAGCATCTCGTCGTCGCAGACCCGGAGCAGCTTCGCCTCCGTAGACGGGTTGAGGTAGTTGGCCACTCGCAACTTCTCAGCCTCCAGGGCGTTTTCCGCCTACAAAATTAAAATAAATAAAAATGAACGGTGAACCAAAGGAAGAAGCGCACCAGCGGTTGTTGGACGAAAGTACTAGACTATATCACGTGGCACGAAACAACAACAGCAACAAGGGTGGATACAAAACATACCGAAAATACTACCGGTGCTACTGCGCCAGTCGTTGCGTGTGTAGTATTAGATGTAATACCTTGAGTCGTATAGTACCTTGAAATACTCTTGTCCAATCAAATCCACTTCGATCCTATTGGGATACAAGGTACCACACCTTGACCATGTAGTCCGGCGTGGAGTCTGTCTCCATCCACTCCTGGCTCACCCTTACAACACCAATCTCTTGTCCAATCAAATCAAATTTGATCCTGTTGTCCACAAAAAAACACCTTGATCATGTAGTCCGGCGTGGAGTCTGTCTCTATCCACTCCTGGCTTTTCCTGGCGTAGTGGTCCTTGGTGTTGGCCAGGAGAGCCTCCTCGAGGTCCGCCACGTACGAGTCCAGCGTACCCATCCCCATCGACTCAAATAGCTCCACGCACGACCTGACAATACATAAAATAATTATGTCAATAAACACAGAGCGAAGGAAATTAGGTTGCATATTCTGCATCTCTCTCTCTCTCTCTCTCTCTCTCTCTCTCTCTCTCTCGCTCTCTGTGAGTACGTGTGTGTGTGTGTCTTTGCAACGATCGCAAACCATGTCATGTCTCGTTAAATATACATTAGCAACAACATTGTTGCCTATTTTTTCTTCCGTGTCCTTCTCTCTTCTCCTCACCCAATGAGCGGTCGGTCGATGATCGTCCCTTCCCTCTCCTTGTTGATGACGTCCAGCATCGCGTTCACCACCGTCTACGAGAAAGAAGAACAAGCACGTACGTACGGTACACAACACAGCACGCGACCAAGGGCGAGAGCACGCGGGGGGAAGCAGCAGCAGCAACAACAACGGCAAAGGTGGGAACAACCGCAGTCAGGTCACGAGAACCGTGGGAAAATACCGCAGCCCGAAGAGAGACGGGACAGCAGCAACAACGACGACGAAGGTGGAAAAAAACCGCAGTCAGGTCAAGAGAACCGTGGGAAAACGCCGCAGCCCGAAAAGAGACGGGACAGCAGCAACAACGACGACGAAGGTGGAAGAAAGCGCAGTCAAGTCAAGAGAACCGTGGAAAACAACCGTAGCCCGACAAGAGAATGGACTTGAATTAGCCTTCGGACAAAGATATACGTAACATGGTACTAAGTAGCAGCCCACGACGCCTTGACTGCTGCCGGGAGAGAAATAACGAAACAACAGAGAGAGGTGCCCGCCACACAGCCGACTCCCCCCGCTTGCTGAAGGAAGGTGGGGGGACAATTGAACGCTATCCCGGGGTTTTCACTTCACGTACGTACTGAAGTGGGAAAAAGAGCGCGCCGCATCGATGCTTGATGCAGACCAGGGTTGTCTCGAAGAGTTTCTCAGCAAATCCAGGTACATGCGAAGTTATTGTGATCATGGCTTTTCAGCCCCTGGAACACACACCCCCCCCCACAAGGACAAATCGATGGGTCCCAGCAGCAACTTAAGAAGTATCATAGCGTGTATGTTATAGCGTTGTGTTGAGGGAAAGACAAAGGAACAGCCGAAAAGGCACAGCACGCTTGAAAGAAAAGTTATCGCTAAAAACCAAGGCGGGACGCAGTAAAAAACAGCATGACGGCATGACGCATACGCACCGACTTGACGACATCGTAGACTAGCGTCTTGAAATGCTTCAGCCCCGCCTCCTTCAATGATGGTAACGAGTGGTGCTTCACGTAGTACCTGCATCGCATTCGAGGTAAATCACACGGAGCGAAATAAAAAAAATGCAAGTTTGTGGTACGCACGCAAGAAAAACGTAAGCTTTCAACACGTTCCCTTCGACTAACCTGTGGTCACATCTCGAACGGGTACTACAGTCTTTCAGCGATTGTATGTATACTGTCAAAAACACTATCCAAACAAAATCATGACAGCGACAAACCATGGCGTTCGCGAGCCGCGATGGCGGGAGATACTGTACGTAGCATTCCGCAGGGTTTTCTATTCAAGTAAATATGTTGGAAAAAGCACGTAATCGGGGGAGTTGGGTTCTGGTTCTAAATAAGGGTTCTGCGTACCGCCCTCCCTGTGCCATTTCCTCACAAGCTTAATTTCTCGCTCAAAGGCGGCCCTATTTATTTCCCACCTACATTACCTACCATACCAGGGAACAACGAACGGCTCACCTGTCCAGGTACTGAAAGAACTTCTGCATCCACTGGTTCATGATCTTGTGGTTCGACCACCTTCGCACGAGCTCCTTGAGAAGGAACTCCCCGTGCTGCTCCCTCAGCGCGTTCACCACCGTCCCCGACAGGTACTGCGTCGTGACGTCATCGCCATGTATTCAAGCAGACAGATCAGATCGATCGCAAAAACAACATACGATAAGAATCGCACAAAGTGTATGTTGAGCCGTTCTGCTTCACAGCAGCTGAGTCGTGTACGTCCAGCTGTCCGGGGGTAGTTTTTCGACCTCTGTGCTGTGCACACGCGATAATAACTCGTGGGGAAAAAGACAAATACGTATACTTTGTTCCGCATCTACACCGCCGTACACCCACAACACATCAACGTCTCAATTCAAAATGCAAAATGGTTTTCTGCTCTCTGTTTGGCTGGCGAGAACACCAGACCACCATCCTTCCGAGAACACGTCATCAACGAACCGACCGACCACGCCAGGCGTAGTCTGCAACACATCGTAGCAGCGGATAAACGACACCTGCCGACTACCGTAGGTGGCATGACTCAAGATACCACCCCCCCCCCCCTCGGCCGATTTTCAACCCTCGAATACTCCACAAAGAAGAGGATGTCAAACAATCATGTGACAAGCTTTCGGAAACATACATATCGACGACAGGCGGTTTCAAAGCCGTCCTTCTTCGGCACCGCCGCCGTCTCTGCTTTGGATTGTAGGCGAGCACCAAAAATCGGTCCCGATCGGTCACGGGGATACGGTCTCTTACGTCACGTCGGTGCCGTCTCCCCACCGTCATCGACAAACCTGCGAGATGGTCTCCCCGTGTCTGTCGTAGAGCTGCTCCGACCAGTTGTAGGGAGATCGCTGGGTGCACATGTCGTAGCACGTGGTGTAGGTGCTCATGAAGTCCTTCGGCGTGAACAGCTGCGAGGTCCTCTTGTCGAAACCCTGGTGCAAAAAAAAAAAAAAAAATCATGTATTAGTACAGCTATAAGAGTCGTCGACGGACAAAAAAAAAAAAAAAAAAAAAAAAAA